AAAAAACCATCAAAATCCCAAAAAAAACCCTCAAAAATCCCATAAAAAAACCAAAAATCCCACGAAAAAACACCAAAATACCAGGAAAAAACACCCCAAAAATCCCCCAAAAAAATCAACTCTTAAATTCGTAAATCAGAAAATATCATCAACGACACGAAATGTCACCAAAAAAAACAAAAATCCCACGAAAAAACACCAAAATACCAGGAAAAACCACCCCAAATTGCACAAAAAAACCCCAAAAATGCCACCCAAAAAAAAATCCCAAAATCCCAGGAAAAACCACCCCAAATTCCACACAAAACCCCAAAATGCCACCAAAAAAATCCCTAAAATTCCACAAAAACTCCCATTAAAAAACCCCCAAAATCCCCAAAAAAACAACTCATAAAACTCATAAATCAGAAAATATCATCAATGACACGAAATGTTACAAAAAAACCCAAAAATCCTGCAAAAAAACCATCAAAATCCCAACAAAACCCTAAAAATCCCATAAAAAAACCAAAAATCCCAGGAAAAACCACCACAAAATTCCACACAAAAACCCCAAAATTCCACACAAAAACCCCAAATTCCCCGAAAATCCCACAAAAAAACCCCCAAATTCCATAAATAAAAAACCCCAAAATCCCCCAAAAAAACCCCAAAGTCCCAGGAAAAACCACCCCAAATTTCACAAAAAAAACCCAAAAATCCCACAAAAAAACCCAAAATCCCACCAAAAAGAACCCAAATTCCACACAAAACCCCAAAATGCCACAAAAAAATATCCCTAAAATTCCACAGAAAGTCCCATAAAAAAACTCCCAAAAATCCCCAAAAAAACCAACTCCTAAAACTCATAAATCAGAAAATATCATAAACAACCTAAAATGTTACAAAAAATCCAAAAATCTCACGAAAAACCCCAAAATCCCAGGAAAAAACACCCCAAATTCCACACAAAAACTCCAAAATTCCACAAAAAAACCCCAAATTCCCCAAAAATCCCACAAAAAAAACCCCAAATTCCATAAATAAAAAACCCCAAAATCCCCCCAAAAAAACCCCAAATTTCACAAAAAAAATCCCAAAAATCCCACAAAAAAAACCAAAATACCACCAAAAAAAACCCAAATTCCACACAAAAACCCAAAATGCCACCAAAAAAATATCCCTAAAATTCCACAGAAAGTCCCATAAAAAAATTCCCAAAAATCCCCCAAAAAACAACTCCTAAAACTCATAAATCAGAAAATATCATAAACAACCTAAAATGTTACAAAAAAACCAAAAATCTCACCAAAAACCCCAAAATACCAGGAAAAACCACCCCAAATTCCACACAAAAAACCAAAATCCCACGAAAAAACCCTCAAATTCCACCAAAAAAAACCCCCCAAAATTCCTCAAAAAACACCAAAATCCCACCCAAAAAAAATTCCCAAATCCCACAAAAAAACCCAAAATTCCACTAAAAAAACCCCCAAATTCCACAAAAAAACCCCAAAAACCCCCAAAAAAACCCAAAATCCCACCCCAAAAAAACCCAAAATCCCACCCCAAAAAATCCCAAATTCCACCAAAAAAAACTCAAATTCCACCAAAAACCCCAAATTCCACAAAAAACCCCAAAATTCCATAAAAAAACCCCAAAATCCCACAAAAAACCCAAAATCCCACCCCAAAAAATTCCCAAATCCCACAAAAAACCCCAAAATTCCACTTAAAAAACCCCCAAATTCCACAAAAAAAACCCCAAAATCCCACCCCAAAAAATCCCAAATTCCACAAAAAACCCCAAAATCCCACTAAAAAAACCCCAAAATCCCACTAAAAAAACCCCAAAATCCCACTAAAAACCACCAAAATCCCACAAAAAAACCCAAAATCCCACCCCAAAAAAATCCCAAATTCCACCAAAAACCCCAAATTCCACCAAAAACCCCAAAATTCCACCAAAAAACCCCAAAATTCCATTAAAAAACCCCAAAATCCCACCAGGAGCTGCTGCGGGATGAGCTGCATGATCAACTTCTGCGGCCACTGGTCGGTTTTGCTGGGAAAAAGGGAAAAAAAGGGAAAAATGGGAAAAAAAAGGGAAAAAAGGGAAAAAATTTAATAAGGGAAAGAAA